TGCTTGCCAAATTTGCAGATGATACAACATTGGGTGGAATAGCTAATACCCTAGAAGACAGAAACAAAATTCAAAATGACCTTGATAGGATGGAGCACTGAGCCGAAAGCAATATAATTAAATTTAACAGGAATAAGTGCGAAGTACTGCACCTCGGAAAAAGAAACCAATTGCACGGTTATGAGATGGGGGAAACCTGGCTCAGCAAAACTATGAGCGAGAAGGATCTTGGAATTGTCGTAGATCACAAGCTAAATATGAGCCAACAGTGAGATGTGACTCCAAAAAAGGCAAATGCTATTTTAGGCTGCATTAATAGTACAGTTTTCAAATCCCGCAATGTGGTAGTCCCCCTTTATTCAGCACTGGTTAGGCTTCACCTTGAGTATTGTGTCCAATTCTGGACACCACATTTCAAGAAGGATGCTTATAAATTGAAACAAGTTCAGAGGAGGGCGACATGGATGATCAAGGATCTGGAAACCAAGCCCTATGAGAAAAGGCAGAAATAACTGGGCATGTTTAGTCTTCAGAAAAGAAGACTGAGGGGTGAAAAGATACTTTTCAAATACTTGAAAGGCTGTCATACAGAGGAGGGGCGAGATCTGTTCTCGATCATCCCAGAATGCAGGACACGCAACAATGGGCTCAAGTTAAAGGAAACCAGATTTTGGTTGAATATCAGGAAAAACCTCCTAACTGTTAGAGCAGTACGACAGTGGAACCAGTTACCTTGGGAGTTGGTGAGTGCCCCAACATTGGAGGCATTCAAGAAAAACTTAGATAATCACCTGGCAGATATGCTTTGATTGATGGCATTGTAGGCCCTTCCCAACGTCACTTTTCTATGATTCTATGATGGAAACATTTTTTTTAGCATTGAGTTCTTTATTATGAATCAAAATACAGCAAACTTTCCTGGAGCAGCAGCAAACAGGCTAAAGCCTTGGGCAAAAGTAATTTGATTGAAAACTAGAGTTAATTAAAGAAGCTGGTAGCAATCAAAGCTTGAGACAGGAAACACTGAATCAGTACACTGTGAACTGTGGCAGGAATTTGTGTATACACTTAAAAGCTGACAGAAACAAATCATAGGTAAAATAACCATAGCAGAATTATTTAATGTCGACATTTCAGTATCTCTAAACCATATATTGTACAAATAAAAATGCATGCCTATCAAATGAACAATTTCCCTATGTCTCACATGGATATATAATATATTGTTCAGACTTGCAATAAACTTTCTGCATTGTGAACATTCTCATGGTACATGCATGATTACTTCATTAGTCACATGCATTTACTTTTATCAGGAGCCTCTTTGATTTTTCTCAGCTAAAATGTATGCATGTTCCTGCACTTGTCCATTCAAGACTTGTTATTGAGCTTTCTAGGGGAAACCCATGCTTATTCTAGTGTTTCTAAAATGCTCCTTTAAATGAACTATCTTTCTTGACTAGCACGAGTGTAAAAATGAAGCAAAAATAAACTTTTAAAGTACATTTTTGCCTACAATGTATGGAAAAGTATACTTCTTAATATTATTCTTAATGAATTACATTTATATGAAACTTAATATGTCAATTAAAATATAAATTCACATGATAATCTAAAAACACCGTAGTTTGTGAACTATGTCTCAGAATGTGAAAGTTTTCAACAAACAAAACCATCAACTCCCCTAATTTACTTAGAATAAAGCATTCACAAGAACTTCTTACTCATGAAATGTTAATAGTTTTATAAATAGGTTCCAAGCCATTTACACAGCATTTTAGTTTTCAAAGATTGCTTAGAAACACTACACAACCAGTTCCTTACATCAAAAGTCATGTTTGGCTTTTCTTAAACAGAATCCCTCCATACCATATGAAAAACCAAGCTAAAGACCTTCTAGAGCATTTTGTGATAAGGAGTAATAGTGAATGCCAAAACACCAAAAATTGTAATGGACCAATCTTTGACTTTCCTTAACCCTTCTCATTGGATTCTGCCCATTTTTTCACTAATCATTACAACTTTGTAGAGATTAGCAATATTATCTGCACACTGTAGATACAATGTTGTGAGCCATCCAGAATAGTGCCATGCACTGAGGTGATGAATGAATGAATGAATGAATGAATGAATAAGCTGAGGTATCAAGTTAAAGGAACTTGCATAATGATACCTAGTGAGTCTGTGTTGGAAGTCAGATCTGAACAAGGATTATTAGCCATTACACTGCAGTAGTTTGGTAGATATTTACTGCAGGATGGCTAAAGTTTAAAAAATGATATAATGAGCATACTTTGCTTCATCTATAAAGAAATCAATCTGCAAATCAGTACCTCCACCTTTGGTTTGTTCAACCAATTTACATCCAAACAATATATTACTCTTGTAAGTAATGACTTATCAATATTTTACTGTTTGCAAAGAGCATTTACTGGGTTCTATGCAATGTAACATTAGCAAAAATAAGTCCAAGAGATGGTGCCTGAATGTCATACAAGTAGTAGTGGAATAATTTAAGCAAATAATACTTAGCTGAATAAAATTATAATGAATCGGGTAAATACAATGAGCTATCCAAGCAGAAACTAAGGTTTCCATTAACCACTTGCACAATGAAGAAAATGGGATTTCTAAAAGAGCTGGAAACCAGTGCTAGGAGACTGACACAACTGCGTACACATATGTGTGTCTGGGTTGTATGCTGTAGTAACAGGCTCTGAATAATATTTTACACATGCAATTACAAAACAATACCAATTTACAATTGCTAGAAATGTTATTTATAGACTACATTAAAATCACCTGAGATAAATCCATTGTCCCATTAAATGTACATGCCAGACTGTTAAAAGACCTACTGAATGTTCTTGGTAGGTCTTCTATGCTTATCAGTCACTTTTTCCTGTAATAGTTACCCTAGCAGACCCTTTCTAATGGACACACAATATGTTACACTGTGCCCAACCTCACCTACTTTTTCTTTTCTCAAAAGACAAGGCACATCTGCCACCTGCTCTAGTTTGAGTCCCAGAAACAACTGTCGAGCAGCAAAAAGATTGATTATCAGTCAAATACTATTGCCGTACACCAGATTTTGGTAGCTTGGTAGCTTTAAGCTTGCTGATCCAGCAAGAGTTAGTGTGAAATTTTCAGCAATGTCTGCCAACATTTTGGTGCTAAAGGAACAGCAGTGCATGTCATGATGAAACGCAGCCAAAAGACGCAGACAAAGCAGAGAAGTTTTTGTTGGGCTCAAATGCAGTAAAGGCGAAGAAAGAAAGATACGTAAATATCCTGGAAAATTATTAGTGATACCTTACATAAATCTATTGCAATGGATATTAAAAAATGATTGTAATACAGTAGTAGATTTAGCCCCTCAGTTCCTAACATATGAGACAAAGTTGATGCCGATTATCACAGTATATTGCAAACATCAAAATAAAAGATAACTGATGATCAAAACAAGAGGTAAGTCATTGGTCAGAAAAGAATTCAGGGGAAATGACAAAGGGGTTTTAGATAAATTTAATCTCCCCTCACTGAGTTAATAGACTAAAATGTATTCAATAGATCATTTGGACTGTATTCAAGAAGACTGTCGTATCATCTGTAATACTGCACTATATGCATAATTCATGAGTTAGGGTTACTTACAGATATAATTTCTTCAACGGCTTTGCAGAAATATGTATTAAATGAGCCAATTAGTGGATTAAAGATAAATATTCCCATAAATTTAGAAATCCATATAATACGCCTCTTTTTTAAAAAAAAGATTTTTTAATGGTATTTGAGAAACAATCATTCTTGTGGTTCCTTTTTACATGAAGTAGTTACTGCTCTGGAGCACAATTTGTGCTTCTTAGAGCTATGCATTTCTTTATTAGAAATGCAACTTTTTAAAATCCTGGTCTTTCAGTTTTCAGTGCTCAAAAAAATGAAAAAAAAACACAGTCTTAATGTGAGGTTTACAGCATGCATGATGAATGTCTGTTACTTTTCATCAACATTAAAATGACGATTTCAGAAAATTTAAAAAGGTAGTACACATGGAGCAAAGAGCGCAGGAACATGTTCTGTTAAAATACTGTTTTACCTTTCTCCTGTAAAATACCCTTATTTGGATAATAAAACAAGGTCAATTACATAATTTTTAATTCCTTAGATACCATTCAAGGCAAAGCAGTGCTTTTGAGAGGCTTAATAGTATGGTATTACAGGTTGACTTTGTTCATTCCAGAATTACTAGACTAATATTTTAATTCAATTATATTCTTATTATAAGATCTAACTATATTATGACGTTGTTTATCAGTAACAATTTTTAAAATCATATAACACTTCAATCAAGCAGAACATTGGAACTGATCAAAATCCATATGCAACAAATGTGACTGTAATAAAGATAATTCTGTATTTTATTTTCAAGTGCACCTGAAAAGAAATTCCAAAAGTTAGGGACCTCAGACAACATATTCACATATTTTACTGGAAAAGATTGCTTTAAAAGAATGCTAGAAAAGGTGCACGTATAAATTCAAATGGAACTCCAAAATTAATATTCTACATTGTTGAATAAATAGTATGATAATGATTCTAATCCTTTGTCTTAGTAAAGGTTAAATGACTAAATTAATAAAGCACTCTAACTCTGAACTATTATTTTTGCTAGTGTAATAAGCCTAATGAATTGTGTCTGTTAGATGTCAGTGAAACTAAACAGTAAATTCAATAATCTCTGATTTAATTTATTATATTTTCACCATTTAACCTCCTGCAGGCTCCCTAATGTCTATTCAGATCTATATTAAATTAAGCACCAATGCTAATGAAGGGCAATAAACGTGGCTGTCAGTAGATTTTTCTTTCATTAAGCACATTATCTTCTTACTGAGCTGTAATGAGTAAACATTAGTTTTGTTAAACCATGCAAAAAGACAGGATGAAAATAATTTTTAATTGCACCCCTCAAGCCACTGACTCTGGCTTTTTTTTACCTTTGATTTTTTTGAATGGATTTGAAAAGGGCTCTCCAGTTGAAATATAAACGTCAGCATCATGGGGTATGTCTCTAGCATCCAGTGCTTCGGTGCCGTCTGCCAAGAAGACTCGTCTTGCAGCCGTATTCAGCTTCAGCTTTTCAGTGCTCTCCTCTAGCAGCTATTAAAAAAAGGTAAGAAAATTTCAGACAAAAATGTGTTTATCTTAATTTCCACATATTAAGAATCAAAATAGTGATGAACTGATTTCCCTAAACACAATGTAAGTGCGTCAAAATGCCAAACACTAGCTATCAATGTTATGGCTTAATCATTGTTTAAATTATGTGAAAAAGGTTCACATTTTCACTACAACTTATGGCTTCTGTACTACATGATATTAAGTCAAGTGACTATGCAACAACTATGTTTATGCTTGACAAATGTTAAGCAGTTTATTTCACTGCAGTTTGAAAATGATGGGCTAAATCTAGCATTTGTCCTCAGAAATTATACACTGGAACATATGGTAATTGTTAGTAATAAGTAATAAGTCTTCTACATTCTAGCAGATCTATCTGTAGATACGATTAATATTGGAATTATCCAAATAAATACCACTGCCTACAAAAGAAATCTATACTTACGAGTTTAATGGAAGGTGGCACAGCAATTTTAGCAAATACATTTACTATTCCATTTTTATAAGCAGTCACTCTGAGTATCTGTGGTTGTCGTCTAAAAATGTGGGGTACTTCAGAGGCCTTCTGTGCCAAGTGTAATTTTGGGGAAGAAAACATTTGAAATCTGTTGCAAAACAATTCCAATATAGTTAAATTAGGTTGGAATTACTAATTTTCATCTGCTTGTACTAAATTTACATTTCAGTAATTATTCAGCTTACCATTTGTACTTTGAAACAAAATTAAAATAATATTTTTCTTCAAAACATGTGCAGACTGACTAAAATTCAAAATATTAAAGCATCTTCTGGTATTGTCTTATTGTTATTTGCTTCATTAGAAAGAATTACTGTTAGTGATGTTGGGTAACCAACAATTTTTACGACATAAACAGATATACACTCCCATCTTAGTCATAGTGGAAGTAAAACTGTTCTCACTGAGACTTACTTGCATGGACAGGATTGCAGTGTTAGTTTCACTAAACTCAAATGTTAATTACAAGAAGAAAAGGCCAGGCTTATTTATCTATTCTCACCAGTGGAAATTCAGTTCTAACATGTTAGTCAATAAGCCTTTCTGCTTGAACAACTTTTGTAATTAATGTGAGCAACTTGTTTGCATTTTGTTACCTTTTAGGATTTAGCTTTTTTGTGTGTGATGTTAAAGGAACTGAATGCCCTTGCTGTTTTGTTTTGTGTTTTTTAATGGAGAAAGGTCCATATAGCAACATAGCTAAATTCTGCAACAAGACAAATCTTATCATGTTTGAGGCCTAGGTGTTACAGTAATGCAGTGGGATCAAAGATCGTGCAAATAACATGCAAAGGATCAAATGTGTTTGGGATAAAATTTAATGATGTGGAAGAAAGCTCTCTCAATAGTGCATGTTATACGAAATCAACCCCCAATGATTTGAGTAGAACTAACTTCTACAATGTGACTATATTCTAAAAGGATTTATACATGCCTCTCTCTACTACTGCTTACTGTGCTCTACTGTATAATCTGAAACATCAAAATTTTCTAAGATGTACTTCAGAGAAGAGAAAAAGTATGCAAACGGCATGAAAATTTTCATTTGCCAGAAATACACAACAAGGCTTTTTATTACTAATAAAATATTTTAATACATAGTAATCCACATGTGCCTTGTATACTTTTTCACATATCTAAAAGCTTTCCACATGAAATATCTATTACATTGTTAAAAAAACAACAACAACAACACACCTCTGACTGACTAAAATGTCAGTCCTAAACACACCAGAAACCTTCTAATTCAGGAGGTTTAGGATAGTGTTGCAGTATTATTAGGTGCCATAAATCCAAGCAAATTGTACACTGCTTTTACTGGAAGTTTAAGGCTGTCAATTGAATCATCACTGAATCAGTTGAAAGGGGATAGGGGAGTAACAGTCATAGTTAAAAGGAACATGGAACAGCTTTGATTACCTTAGTTGACCTGGTAGAGCACTGACAGGTCTGTTTCTCTTGGATGGTGATATAAGGCCAAAATTATTTGTAGTGTTTGATTTGTAGCTGACTAGTTCTGATATTCTATCACTTCTCTGAACTGATTCTGTTTGATGTGTGGAACCATCCTGAAGTCCTGACCTTCTTGATACCACTGATGATTGCAGAGGACTCTTGTGGCCATGTAGATGTTCTTTTTGTTTTTCTTCTGTTTTTTTAGTTCTCACTGTATAAGGGGAAATGTATCTTCTGCAAGAAAAACAGGAGACAAAAATAGCCTTGTATTTCAGTGGGGTTAATGTAATGTGTGTAAAATACGGTTATGCACTCATGCCTGAAAAGATTTCATTAGGACAAATGGACAACTTAAATGAGGGAAAGGAACAAGTGAAGGATTAAGAAATATTTACAACATCATCAAAAAAGATATTCAAAGCACATTCAGTATGTTTTTAAGAACACCTTGTTGTGGTTAAACTCTTAGATATACAGTGCTGCCCCACAAGACAATGTTAATTCATTCCATTGAAATCACTGTTTTGCGAAAACATCGTCTTGCGAAAAGCATTTCCCCATTGGAATGCATTGAAATCTGTTTAATGCATTCCAATGGGGAAAAATCGTCGTCGTCCAGTGAAAATCGCCCATAGGAAAGCCCTTTTGCGAAGTGCCGATCAGATGTAAAATCGCTGTCTTGCGAAAAACGGAAGCACCGATCAGCAGTAAAAATTGTCATCTTGTGGAAAATGGTCTGCGAAGCACAGACCAAATCATCGTCCAGCAAAATCCCCCGTAGGAAAAACCGTTTTGCGAATCGCTATAGCGATCGCAAAAAGTCACCGTCCTGCAGATTACCTGTTTTGCCGGGTAATCGTCTAGCGGGGCACCACTGTAGTTCTTTTTATCACTGAAATGTGGGTGTAGTGGTGTAACAGAGAAAGAAGTGCAGTTAATCTTTAACTCATTGCAAATTCACTGGCTCAGTTTAACAATAACACAAAGACTATATGCTGAAATATTCTAATAACTACAAACAATTAAAACACAGAATACAAAAGATTCTGATAAACTCCAGAGTAAACTACTGCAGTATGCCATATGTGGGCTTGTGTGGGAAGACTATACAGAATGTCATTTGATTAATCCTTTCTTGGATGTTTACCTTAATATAGTGAAGAAATCTGAGTGTGTCAGAGAAACTGAGAGCAAAGTCTGGACTTCTAACAGGGTTATTGCAAGGCATAATGGTCAAAGCTGAGACACCAGAGTAGGATGCAACCATCCTCTTCAGGATTAATGGTCACATCAGCGGAAGATAATTGATAGTTCTGATAGTGATGGGGCAGAGAAACTCCTGGATAGCAGTTATTGGGCAGCAGCAGTAGAGGAAAGTGATGTTCGTGAAGGATCTTTCACAGACAATGGCAGTGTTACTCAAGCTAATTCTTGTTAGCACTGTACAGAAGGGAGCAATGGTGAAACTCGTCTGAATATTTCTTATCCTGAAAACTCTATGATGAGCCAATTTAAAATGAAACAAGAAATGGTGCTGGAAGATGAGACTCCCAGGTCAGAAGGCATTTAAATTGTCTACTTAGGAAAAGACAAGTGCTGTCATTAACAAAGCAAGTAGATTAAATCATCTAGTCAGCTAGTATACACAAAGGTGAAAGGAAAGTCTGATCCAATTGAAACACTGAACATGAGAAGCATGAACTAAGGTAAACTGAATATAGAAACAATAAAGCAAGAAACAGAACATTTAAATACTGCAGTGCTTGTGAGTGAACTAATCAGGAATAGGAAGCATTTTGCTATGGCAATAACAACACCAGAAGAAACAGTGTGGCTCTAATGCTGAGACAAGATACAGCACAAGAAGTTGGAGTCTATAATGAAAGATCTGACTGAAAAGGATCAATCAAACCTCTTGCCTATCCACATTACCATTATTCAACTCTAGGATCCAACTACAGATGCTAAAGAAAAAGTAATGAAAAGCTTCTGTGCAAGCATCCAGAAGGAAATTGATCATAAATCAAAGCAAGATGTCCACAGGTAATTGCAATGCAAAAGTAGGAAACAAAACAGAATCAAACATTATTGGAAAATCTGGCCTAGAAGCCAGAAACAAAATATGAAAATGACTCACAGAATTCTGTGAAGCCAATGATCTGTTTATTGTAAATATATGTTTCAAGCAAGTGAACAGATGACTGTACACATAGATATCACCAAAATAGAAAACAGGTAGACTAAACATTTGGAAGAAGGGGATGGATAAGATGTATTCTAGCCTCCAAAACAAGATCAAAAGCAGATTGTGACACTGACCATGAATTATTAGTATAAAAAAAATTAAAATAAAGCTGAAAAAGAACAGTAAAAGAATCAGAGTGCCTAAATTTAATTTAAATAACATTTCCGATTTTTAAAGAAACAACAGTTGCATTACTAAGCTCAATTGTGAACCAGAAAAACTGTGGATTGAAACCAGAAATTATATCAGGGAAGATGAAAAAGGCAATTTGCATTAGTCAAGAGAAAAGAAAGGCCTAGATGATGGTGGAAGAAATACTTAAAATGGTGAAGGGCAGATAAGAAGCAAAAGAAAAAGCTGACAAAAACAGGATCAGAATCCTGAATGCCACTGTTCAGCAACTAGAGACAAAGAGAGCTGTTGCAATCATTAGTGCAGAGATACAGAAGAGAACAACTAAAAAGACAATAGAGCTCTTCCAGAAGATTCAAGAAATCAAAGGAACATTTAAATTTAGATCATGAATGCTGAAAGATCAATAGGGAAATATTTGCCCAATAGTCTATAAAAAGGTGGAAACAATATATGAATTATATCTGTGAAGATTCTCAGTCATCTCGGAGAGGTTATCTGGTAGCTGAGTGATGACAACTGGACTTCTTTCTAATTGGGCTGAAAAACATTTCACTAATCATCCAAGTAGCTTCTTCAGTCTGAGGAGAGTTGGTAGGAGTCCCTGACATATCCTCCATTTTGGTTTCACACCCACCCTGGTCTGAACAGACTCATTAGTCCTTCTCCACCCATTGTCATGGGTCATTAACAGTGGTTTGGTGAGTGGTCATGATCTTTCTGGGGACAAATGAAAGGGCAGCATGATAAATAGGAGACAGATTGTATCCAAGGCTTCCACACCTATTAAGTGAGTGTTTTTCTCTATGCACATATATGGCCTCCTTGAAACCCCCCCCCCAAAACCACCTATCTCCTTGGTTCAAAATGAGTACATCTTGGTCATCAGTTTTTGGACCAAGAGGACAGATAGTTTGAGAGAGGGGTCAGGGAGGCCATACATGTGCATATGGAAAATCCCTCACTCAACAGGATGGAGGCCTTAGATACAATCTGTCTCCTATGTATCATGCTGCCCTTTCATTGATTTTCCTTTGATTTCTTTTATATAGTTTCTTCATTTTGGGAATCTTATTATCTGCTGTGATTTAAATAAATCTTCAAATTAATTGCACCAGAAGATAACTTCAGATCATCTCTGGTTATACCTTTCACCCACTAGGGCAAATAAAAAACCTAATTTTCACAGAACAGATATACAGAAAAGATGCAAAGATGGTACATTCCTTTGAAGAAAAAAACCCCTGCGATTTTAAAAAGTTAGGTCAAAGCTGTTCTCAAAGCAGTTGGAAGAAATAAATCACCAGGATTTATTTCTTTCCCATGCAAACTCAAGATGCTGCAACAAAACCTTTTTATCCTTTATGGTCCAAGAAATGCTCAATGTTCAGACTGGATTCCAAAAAGAATGAGGCACTAAATATCATATTGCAGATATATATTACCTACTGGAATGTACCAAAGAATTTCAGAAAAACAATCTATGCTTTATAGATTACAGCAAATCATTTTACTGGACAACCATCTGTCAGATCTGATTTGACTTGGATTTCTGTATTGAACAGGGGATTGGACTTGATGACCTTATAAACCCCTTCGGACTCATTTATTCTATGATTCTATGCAGTCTTGAAATTAAAAGAAGGCTAAGATTGGAAATAGAGAAGATAATCAACTGCAATGATGTATTACAGGAGATCAAGGCCAAGATCAACCACACCATTGTACAGTGGTGCCTCACTTAGCGAGGTTAATCCATTCCAGATTAACCCTCGCTCAGCGAATCCATCGTTAAGTGAAATAAAAAAGCCCATAGGAACGTATTAAAACTGATTTAATTCGTTCCTATGGGCTTAAAACTCACCGTTCTGCGAGTTTCCTCCATTGCGGTGGCCATTTTGGATGCCTCGTTAGCAAGGCAAAACAGCGGTCGGCATTTTGTTTTAGCGGCAGCCATTTTGGAACCGCTGATCAGCTGTTTGCTATGCTTTGATCGCGTCCGTGCGATCATCGCATAGCGAAAAAAGCCCATAGGGGCCATCGCTGAGCGAACGCTCCAGCGATGGCCCGGGACCCCTTGTTGTGCAGTTTCATCGCATAGCGAAGCGCTCGCTATGCGAGGCACCACTGTATTCTCAATTACTATGCATGTATGTGGAAGTGAACAGTGAACAAATCTGAAAGGGAAACTAATTATTCTTCAAAAGACAAACAAGTGGGTCCAAATCAAGACTGAATTTTCTATTTTTTACCTACTGTACAGTGAGATGTAGAGAATGTAAATGTAAGTTGACGGTTCAGAAAAGGACCAAGAGTAAACTTCTGCAGTCCAGGTTTGCATTAAAACATATCCTAACAGGAAATGCTCACAAGATTTATAAGTAGAAGATTTATAAGTAGCTAAGCCCACCTTTAAAACTGCAAAAGCCAATGTGAAAAAATATCTTCTAGTCTCTGTCTTTGCTTCTAGATTTTCACTGATGCAGACAGATATCATTGACAGGTGGTGGCCACCTTCTCCTCCGCCTGTTGGGGCCACGCTCAGTCCTTGGCCCCTTGGGGGCGGCTCCCCTTCTCCGTTGGTGGGTGGCTGTCGAAGAGCAGCAGGTAGCTCACCCGCTGGGGGTGCCCAATGCTGCCTCCTGCTCCAGCACCAGCTCCAGTAGCTGCTTGCTGGGCTGGCCATGTCATGCCTCAGTATCAGAGCTCCCACAGGCCTCGCCGTTGAAGCGCCATGACAGCTGCCACATGGAGAGTGAGAGGCTCTGCCAGGCCCCCCCCAGCCAGTGTGGAGGTGCCGCCGAAGGAAGCCACACAGCTGGGTGAGTGCTGCTGCCACCCGACGGGCTCCTCCTGG